GGGAAACACACTGAAACCACAGCAGCTGCTCAATGAATATTTATTGAACGCTTCTCCATGTTACACAAACCCCATAGACACAGCTGCCCCTAGCCTCATGGAACTTGGTGATCTTGAAAAGCATACTGACCTTGATGTGATGTTTTTAATTGCACAATTTGCAAACAAATCATAGTTTATATAATCACAAAGCATACAAGATGCTGAAGGCGCATACAATAGGACGACCTCACCAAATCTCAGGGATCATTGGTTCCCTGAGAGACTGACATAAGGGCCAAGATCACAAAGACATCCAGGAGTTAAGTGAATAATCACTCATCTTTATCAATCATCAGCTTTTGTTTTGTTTTTTGGTACTGGGGATGGAACTGGGGTCCTTGTGCTTACAGGGCAGGTGGCAGAACCACTGAGCTAAATCCCCTGCCCTCGAGCATCTACTTTGTGTCAGGTTTTATTTGCTGCGTTAACTTCTTTAATCCTCCCCCAAACACTGTAACACAGATACTGTTTTTCCCACCTGATTGATAATGGATGATGGAGGGTAAAAATATGGAACTAATTCATATGTAGGTGTGTGGCTCCAGAAGTTCTTACTGTATGTGAGAAACTTCCTGGGCAGTAGGTATGGTACCGGAATAGGAAGAGATCAAGACTGTTAGAAGGCAAGGTAGATGTTCTAGATCAATGGTCCTCAGCTTTTTTGGCTCCAAGGATTGGTTTATCCAGGAGACAGTTCTTCCATGGAGTGAGTGAATCTGGGGAATAAAATTAGGATGACTCAAAGGAGGGCATAGCCTAGATCCCTTGCATTCCCACTTCACAAGTGTTCTACTCCTGTAAGAATCTAATGCCACTGCTGATCTGACAGGAGACAGAGCTCAGGTGGTAATATGAGTGACGGGAAGTGGCTGTAAAGACAAATGAGACTTCACTCCCTCAGCCACTGCTCACCTCCTACTGTGAAGCCGGGTTCCTAATGGACCACAGACTAGAAGCATGGGGTTGTGGAACCCTGTTCTAGATGAAACTGCTGAGATAAGAAAGGGCCACATACATAGGTCTTACAGATTATAATATTGTGTTCCATATTGTGTTTATCCTAAGAGCTGTATATAGCCCAGAATGTACATGATCATATTTATGTTTTGGAAAGATCACTTAGGCTGCTGTGTGGAGACTGAATTAGAAAGTGGCAGAGGCCAGTTATGTGGCCACTGCAGTAACCCAGGCACAAGTTAGCAGTGTCCATGACTGGCTTTTCTCAGGAGACAGAAACATGTAGAAGCAGTGTCTTGTGATGAGCTCTTCCAAAAAATTTTAGAGACTCAGATCCCTTAAAAGCAATGACTTTGAAATAGAGAATGGCAGTTAATCCTGCTATGTCACCCTCATTTGATTAAGAAGTGCTGAGAAGATTAGTGAAGCATGCTCTTGGGTGTGTCAAGGAAGTGCAGTACTGTATACAGTCCCTTCCTCCTGCTGTTTCCCATACACACCTTTCTGCATGATGTTGGAGCCAGTAGACCATGGATTGAATTGCTCAAAACTAGAAACCAGGTTAAATGTTTTCTTTTAATTTGAGGTATTGTGTCTCACCCACAAGAAAGTAATTATTAAATTTCTGTTTGTTGTTTTGAGACAGGCTGTCATTGTGTAGCCCACGCTGGCCTGAATCTCTTGATCACCTTGCTTCTCAAGTAATGAGCTCTTCCAAGGAATGACTATCAGAAGTACCTCAGGTGCTGGGATTCAGGCTTGCACCACCATACCCACTTCCAGTTATTTTTATCTAGTGCTTTTATAGAGACCCCAATTCTGAAGTTCTCAAACTAGTTTTCATATGGATTAAAATTGTGGTGTGACTATCTCAAAACATTCTGTAATTCATCCAGTTGAAAACCACTGTAGGTGACGCCTTCTCCCTGGTACCTCTGTCTGTCACCCCATGATGCTGGGAGGACAGTTGTCCGGACCCACAGTTGAGATCACATTCCTGGGCTCCAAGGGCAGGGCTTCTGAGGTTTCCCCAGACACCAGTCCCAAGTTGTGGAGGACCTGACTTGCCAACTCCGGTTGTCAGTCCACAGCTGCAGCACACACACCCCCCTCCCTGCCATGATTGATTCCTGGAGGAGTTGTTGGCTGGATGACTGGAACAGAGTCTGTGGACAGTTTCTGTCCTGCCCAGGTGATGAGTCAGGCACCTAAAGACAAAGGTATGGATGGCTCTGTGTAGAAAGAATATTTTGAGCATAACACTCTTGCTGAACAGCATGGAATGGTATGGAAAACCTGAATCCCTGGATTGCTTTCTCTGCCAGTGTTTTTCTGGGATTGTCAGGATTGTCAAATAGAAAGGGGTGTAGAGAGGGCTCAACTGGGAAGAGGCAACTGGGATTAGCCAACTGAGTCCAGATACTACCTCGGCCACCTAGGAAGCACCCTCTTCATTTCTGATTTAATCATTTTAAGATGCCAGTGACATATTTTTTTGTTTTAATAAAAGGAACATCATGGACTTTCTGAACTAGAAAATATTCCGTCAGATGGGAGCTGGATTTGCTAACTCCGATTTGCAGAGTGCATGCTAAGCTATAAGCTATTTAACTGGGTTGTTATCTTCCAACTTTTACATTCTGTTCAAATGCAGACATTTCCATAGAAGGAGGGAAAAGGCTTTAAAAAGCCAGATTTGCCATTCTCTTGGATTTCTAGGAAACTGCCAGACTTCTGATTTCTACATTAGTGTTTTTTTCCCCCTCCTGGATGGGGTGTTGTTCACCACCTTGTGGAAATTAGGAGAACTGTACTTTCCCAAATATCTGCAGTCAGATAAGGAACATGCTGAGGGTGCTGAGGGGGGCACTAATGTAACCACTGGATCCCTAGAAGTGAAAAATGGGTTCTAGACTTGCCCATCAGAGAACCAGCCCAGAACAGAACAAGGAAGATCAGTGTGTCCATCTTACCTGCTGCTTTACCGTGCATCAGTCATCCGCTACTGTCATGGCCATCCTCTGCCAGCTGCCTTGAGGCCATACACAGTACTGCAAAGGGAAATGGAGCAAGGTTTTCATTGGCTCTCAAACTGGTGCTTTTGTACAAGTAAAGTTCTGAGACTGCCTTTATTTTAGAGGAAGCAAGAAAGCAGGACATTGATATTAGTAACACTTGTGGGCTGCTTGTGCGGTGCTAGTATTTACAGTACTTGTATTCTGTGTTCCTACTACAAGGGAGGCAGATTTTGGCTCACAAGGTCGGCAGGACTGGCTTCTTCATAGCCAGCCCAGCTCGACTTAGGTGAAGAGAGAAGTCCAAAAAGAGCTTGAGACAGAAAAGTCCATACTCTGGGTGTGCATTTGACTTTTTAAGTGGCCTTTGGGAAGCAGCTTACACACTTTATGGGACTAACACTGTAGGCCACATTGGGTAGTGGAGAGAACATAAGATCCAGTGTGTAACAATTCTGGTTTTCACTTGTTCCCCATAACATAACAGCTCTGTGACCTTGGGCACTTTGCCTAAGACTGTCAATCTTCTCTACTCTAAAGTATGGTTAATAATAAGGGCTGCCTCATGGAAAGCATGGAGAACTAAATGAGAGAAAGCCCAGGCCAGATTCATGGCTCCCTCTCATAACTGGTTCATGTGTATAACTAACATGCTGAAGTTCTCCAAACCCTCTGTAAACATCCGATAGGAAGAAGTAATCATGGATGTTATGAGGGAGGTGACAAGCCATCACAGTGTTCCACTGACAGTGTAGAAATAAATGATTACTCAGAGATGAAACTTAGTTCAGTCACCAAGAAGGCCCAGAGGTGCTGTCTCAACTCAGAACATCCATAGTTAGGGAGATTCTCAGGAGAATCTGTAAACTTTCAAGCTTTTATTTAGAATATCACTGTAAGAGAAAAAAGCAGAAGAAAAGCAGGTTTGGCACGGTGCTGTCTCAAGGCTAGGCAATTTTCTTGGTGAAAGGGGAGGGGCAGCAGCCAGACACAACATGTTTCACTAATCTAAACTTCTTTCATTCCTCACAGAGCCTGCAGGCTTTTGCCCCATCACCTTTAAAAGGCAGGAACAGCAGTGATGTACAGTCTAATGTTTTGTAGTCTCTGACTCCAAACAGCCCAAATTATGTCACTGTCTCTATGGAGATAAACCATGAACTATAGTATGCATGGAATACAGTTAAAGAGCTTAAATATGCAAAGTGATGAGACACCAGGCACCATGCTCCCAGTACAGCCACACTCCTGCCCTCATGAGGCCTCTAGGTGATGAACAGCTCCCAGGGCTCTCCTGGGGATCCCTCTGAGATTGAAGCCAGCAGAACCTGGTTGGGGAGGATAAGTAGGCATGCTAGTGAGCCTTGTGGTGAATGTGGCTCTTCCAAAAGACACCTAATGCAACGGAAAATTTAGTAACAAAACCCAAGTACAGTCGTCACTTTTGCCCATCTTCCATTAATGATTCTAAGCTCTTGAGTATGTGTCTAGGGTTTCTAGAGATCACCATCACCTTATATGGGAAAGAAGTATACATTTATTACATACCTATTATCCTACCAGGCACTGTGCTAGGAAGCTCAGATATTTGTCTCAGTAGCCCTGTGGAATATGAATTATTTTGTGATTTTTCAGCCAAGGAAAAAGGAATAAGGCAAAGTGGCTTTGCTAATCCAGCTAGGAGGAATGGAGCCAGAGTCAAGATGGAGATAGGATCTTAGCAATGTTCCATCTTTGTGTGCCACACTGCACCAGGCATAAGGCCCTGGACTTAGGAAGATCGTAGTAAATGCCTACTGAGTTGAAAGTGGAAGGATTCATGTTCCAGGAGGGCATTTGGAAACAGGAGCAAATGCCCAAACAAGGCTCTGAAAGACTAGCTATGTAGAGCACTTTAAAACTTACTGTCACCCATCTAGGGACTGCTGCCCTGAAGCCAGCCATGTATAAGGGCTGAATTGATCAGTTTTGTCTTTTAAATTTTAGGCATCCCACCTTCCAAAGAGGTGCCTGCTGGGAAGTATCCATTCATAGTCACCTCTGACGATGGGCAGAAGGTGCCTGTGGTCCAGGCCTATGCTTTTGGCAAATACCTAGGCTATCTGAAGGTTGAGTTTGATGAAAGAGGAAATGTCATCACTTCATCTGGGAATCCCATTCTTCTAAACAGCAGCATTCCTGAAGGTATGTGACATTCAGAGGAATTTTCCGCCATTCAAAACTTAGGTGGTTAGATTTTCCTTTCCTTGTCCTCCTTTTTTTTAATGTGTGAGAAAAAACTATATACTTATAAAGAATTTAGTTTCTGTCTTCATGGATAAGGAGACTTAAAACTCACAACTGTTAAAATCCCCGTTTGCTTCTCCAGGTCCTCTTAACATGGGACTGTACATCACTGCCGTTCCTGCCTTTTCAAAGCATGATCCTGACAGGCCAGGGTTACTCTCAGCTCACGTCCAGGGGAGAGCTGATTATCAAAACAAGGAGTTTAAACTGAGAAGGCTGAAATCATAAGACCCCTCTCCAGGGGCAGTATGTCACGGGCAGGTGCCTCAGTTTCTTTATTTACGAGATAAATCCCTTGCTTTCTTTTTTCTGGGACTCAGAGTAAAACTACATTGCCATTTTTATCATATATGTGAACATACTCCTGTGTGTCTATCACTAGTCCTTCCCTGTTTGCCATGAGCAGCTCAGGAAGGATGGGTGTTGAAGTGCCACAAAGCCAGGAAAGGCTATGGTCAACACAGCCTCCCTATAGCTAGTGAGGGTGGGGCCCAGGACCACACACCCAACAAGCCCTTTGTACCCACCCTTTGAGAGTCCCATGCCACCACCAGAGCCGACAGGTGCTCACCCAGGCCTGGTGAGTTGATGTTAAGATGTTCAGCATGTCCTTGCATTAAGAGCCAGCCCACGTCTTACTGCCAGGAAACAAATAGAAATACCTAATGAAATCTCATGGATTTTCGAAACAAAAATGTACACAACTGTCATAAAGAAATGTGTATTCATGACAGGTAAGCTAGTTAATTTTTGATTCCTTCTCTAAATTTAGCGCCCAAGATCTGCTTTAACTATAGACTTCATTGCTCTTTTCTTCCTTTCTCCTTTCCTTCTTTTTCTCCTAGATCCAAGCATAAAAGCAGATATTAACAAATGGAGGATAAAATTAGCTAATTATTCTACTCAAACACTGGGGAGAACAATTGTCTATCTGGATGGCTCCACCCAGACATGCCGCTTTAGAGAATGCAACATGGGCAACCTGATTTGCGATGCTGTGGTAAGTCACCTGCAAGAGCAGAGTCCACCTAGGGATAAGAAAGGAAGACAGACAATGAGGGACAAATAGAGTGGCAGAATTGGGGATTTGCCCAGGCCAAAATTTGCCTGATTTTTTTGCTGAATAGCTTGGCATGGTGCCTGAATGATTCTGGGCGACAATCACTTTGTTGCTATATAGGAACTAAACATTTAAGATTATTACTTTCATTCTATAAGATGATTCAAAGACACAGACAAACTCTGCCACTCTGAAGGTAGATAAAACACAGCTCCTGAGACCTAACTTGGCCAGACTAGCCTTTCCCAGTCTGCCCACTCACCTCCAGGAAATCTTGGCCTTGTGTGACTTGGCCTCTTTCCCAAGCATACTCTCCATTACTATAAGACGTCCCTGGCCAGATCAAGATTACCCATGAGGAGTGCTTATTTGGGGAAGATGGCTGTGGTTATTCTCTGGTGATCAGGCTGAGCCATCCTATGGGTTCACAATCTGCACCTACATGCTAGGTATGTGGTGCCTGGAATATAATTACACTCAATAAACATTTGCCAAGTAAGTGACATCCGTGCTTTCCCAGATGAGGCCCACACTGGCTCTTCTGCATCATGAAGTGAGTGTGAAAGAAACAGCCAAAAAGAAGTCATTATGTACATATTTAGAGAAACTTCTAGAAAGAAACCCCTCAGTCAGTTAGCAGTTTGTACTTCTGTGTTAAAGAAGCTGGGCAAATACAGAACATTTACTTTTTGTGCTATTTGTTAAAAAATGAGAATATATTAATTTCCTGTCTGATAATTAGACACATTATTTTAATTAAAAGAAAAGCAAGAATGAACCTGATTCTCCCCAATTTCAGGAGGCTGTCTCTGTGCCTCCAAAATTACCAACCTGAGAGCTGACTGGGGAGCACAGACAAGGAGACTGGCTCTGGTTGGCATGAGGTCTGATGTTGAGGGCCCAGCCTACCCTGGAGGAGCCTGTGAGGGACACTGCTGCAGGCTCCTCTACGCCGGCTTCCAGGCTCAACATGAGACAATCCTGAGAGACCCTTTGCTAAGGCCCACTAGCCTGAGACAAAAGAGGTTTCAGGAGAGGGGAGGCACAGCTCCCGGTCTCTAAGGGCCTGATACAGGACTGGTCACAACACCATAATTTTGTTTCTAAGAGAAGATAAATGGACTAGTAGAAGATAAATAAACTAATAATAATTGTGTTTTGACTAATAGAGCATAGAACTAGTACTATGATTGAGAAATCTCTGGGAACAAAGCAGCAAAGGAAGAGTTTTATTTCCTCAGTAGAGCTAACTAGATTCCTGGAACTGATTCCAATGAAGACCCAGAATAACTCGTATAAATTTGTGCTACCATTGCAGATTAACAACAACCTTAGACACCCAGATGAAATGTTTTGGAACCACGTGTCCATGTGCATTTTAAATGGTGGTGGTATCCGATCACCCATAGACGAGCAGAACAATGGTAAGCTCCCCAGCCCAGCATCCTCAGTCATGTTCTTTCTGGGGTTCCTACCCTGAACATGTCCATTGGCAGCTTCTAATCATCTCTGCTGCCAGTCATGTACCAAAATGTCAGTCCTTTGGGTTTGGGGTAGTTGTTAATGAAGTTCAGTGTTCAGCCCAGAGGATACACACATGCATTCTCATATAGCCACACATAGATGGAGCAGCTAAGAGCTAACAGAACCCAAGCTTGGTCTAAATTTCTGACTTGCAAAGCTAACAGCTGTTCCTGATTTATGCAAAATATTGACAGTGTCTACCTTGGCATCCATCTGAAAGACAAAATCACCAATCTTCTGTGCTGGATTAAATTATTATACATAACCAAGATTATATCATATGATACAACAAATCTACTAGACAAATATCCAAGACCTTCTTGTAGCCCTCTGTGAAATAAGGTTAAATCCATCAGTGTGAGTAAGCCTCCAAGTTCACTGCATGTCAGACAAAACAGACAAGTGGCAGGGAGACACTATCTGTCTGAAAGAACTGAGCAGTGCTTTTCATACTTAGGTTCAGCCCCATACCAACACATCTGAGTCTGAGTACATGAAAGCCATTATTGAGCTCCACCCCCCTGCCAAGAGATGACAGACCAGGCCCACATTCTCAATCCATTATTTAAATTCAGGAGTCACTAGACACAGAGGACACTGTGTCTTCAGCTCCCTAGACTCTTCCATCATCTTCCCTCCCTCTGAGGGAACAGAACTGGTCTTAGGCTAAGCAGTTTCTTAGTATGTTTGCATGCTTGCCTTATCTGTGGCTGCTCTTAGGCACCATTACCTGGGAGAACCTGGCTGCTGTCTTGCCCTTTGGAGGTACATTTGACCTGGTCCAATTAAAAGGTTCCACCCTGAAGAAGGCTTTTGAGCACAGTGTACATCGCTATGGCCAGTCCACTGGAGAATTCTTGCAAGTGAGCGGTAAGTCACACATTCACCCAACTTTCAATGGCCATGGACTCCAGAGCCAAGGGATTAGGTTGGGGTCAAAGCCCCAGGACCCTGGTAATGAACAATATTTGCAAAATATGATTTGACATCAGATGGACCCTCCAAAGGAGCTGGCCTTCTCAACACTAAGCAGCACAGCTGCCTTGAGTTCTAAAATCATAGTTATTTAAGCACTTGTATTCTTTATTTTTAAAAAAAAGTTCTATTCATTGATTGCCTTGGAACCATGCCAAGGTTCAAAGAAACAGTGCCCAGTCAGTATTAATAAGGATGACTTGGGAAGAGGCGGCCTGCTGCACAAACGGCCTGTAACAGCTCATTCTACATCCCACTGTGTCTGAGGGCAAGTCCTCAAACTTTCTGAGTGTAGTGGGAAAATCTGTCTTGGGTGGCAGTGAAGACTGAATAGAAACAAGTATTTGCAATATTGGCAAAATTAAAAAAAAAATTCCACTCCAGTGAATTCTTGATAATCTTATTTTATTCTAAAACCATACTCTTATCTCATTTTTTGACATCATATTATGACTGCACTCACACTTAGCTGTAATGGCTTTGGTGAGTCCTCCCTTTGCAGAACATATTGTTGGGATTAAGCAGTAATAGCATGGGGCTCTGGCTGCTGCCTGTAGGGCAATCCCAGTAGCTAGCATTTTCTCAAGATGGAGCTGAGGAAACAGCATTATTTTGATATTTGAGCAAAGTTCTGAGAAGCTGTATGCTTTCTGAGTCACCCTACCCCAAATTAGATTTTAGTTAAAATTGTTACAAATGCACTTTGCTTCTCATCTCTATTCCTCATTTTCCAAAGCAGTAGCACCAAGTTACTACACCAATTAACTGAAGCCTTTAAAAGGGAAAAAAAACAAAACAAAAAAAACATGTAGTTTTCCCTTGCAAAATCAGCCTTACCCTTTGTTGTGCAGATCATTTTCCTTCCAGTGGTTCTCATCTCTCCTGGAATGTTGATGAAAAAAGCTAACCAAGAAAGACCAATGGCATTGTCACTTCCATTACTTTGATGAAATTTCATTCAAACTCAAACTAGAAACAAGTCTAGTACATATCAATCCACGTTTTGGCAAAATTTCCATTATTAAGTAACAAGTCTTCCTTTGGATCCAGTGAAAATATAGACTCATTTCTTTATAGGAATCCATGTGGTATATGATCTTTCCCGAAAACCAGGGGACAGAGTGGTCCAATTAGATGTTCTTTGCACCAAGTGTCGAGTGCCCAGTTACGAGCCTCTCAGAATGGATGGGATATATAAGGTGACTCTTCCAAGCTATCTGGCCAATGGAGGAGATGGATTCCAGATGATAAAAGACGAATTATTAAAACATGACTCTGGTAAGTACATGTGTCTCTTCTTCTCCTTATCCCAAAGGCACTCAAGAACAAATCTGGGTTAAGAGAAACTACTTGGGAATGTAAGGAGAGCAAAGTCAGAAAACCACAGGAAGTCCCTGTTGCTGATTCCCTACTGTTTTGCTTGTTGAAAAACAGAAACACTGCATTGAGAAATAGTACCCTGCCACTTTCACAGGATATGTATCCATCCATCCATCCAACCTAGAAAAAATTCAACTTTAATGGGGGTGCTGGGGATTGAACCCAGAGCCTCAGGTATGTCAGGCAAACATTCTACTGCTAAGCTACCATCCCCAGCCCTTTTTTTTTTTTCCAATTTTAAGACAAGGTCTTGCAAAGTTGCCCAGGCTTGCCTCAAATTTGTGATTCCCCCCTGCCTCAAACTCCTAAATAGTTGGGATTGCAGAGCATGAACCTCCATACCCAGTGAAAATCCTCTTTTAAATCAGAAATGCTTTTAAATCCTTTTAGTCTACACCTAAGCAGCTATTTAAATTGTGAAATGTGAGTTTATTGTTTTTTTGAGACAGGGTCTCACTATGCAGTTCAGGCTGGCCTTAAACCCACTATGTAGCCCAGGCTGGCCTTGAAATCAAAGTACTCCTCCTGCCTCAGCCTCCTGAGTGCTGGATTACAGGGGGTGTGCCAACATACCTAGCTGTTTTACGGTTGCAGAAAAATCACACCTGTGTCACTTTAGGTTGAATGGAAAACTATCATATTAAATAATCTACATTTTCTTTCTTGAAGCTTTTAGTATGAGTAGGTCAAACAAGAGTGTCCTTCTCTCAGTACAGTGATTTCATAGAGTCAGTTACAGGAACAACCACACCTGATTATCAGTTGATATTTTTGGTAGCACCAAGTTTCCTTTCATACCAACCTCCCTTTTGAAAATGCAGTTGAGAGCCACCTCATGTGCTTCCTAAAGAAGAAAGCAGTACAATCACAAGAGAGCCACATACACAGCTTCTCTGAATTTCTGGAAGCTCAATAGGTTCCTCCTCAGCCTTATTGGAGTGGGCCTTCCATTTTAGTTGCTGGGAGGAAAGGCTCTGACCACTTCTGTCCATTCCACGAGAAGATGGGAGAGCAGGCTTTAAACTGCACATGAGCCACACTGATGGGTATTAGAGATTCTTTATCACCACTCCTCTCTTTTGGAAACGAAGCCTGCATTTTCTTACCACTAATTAAGTGGAAATAATTTTGAGCAGGCAAGCACAAGAAGCCAGTTTTATTTCTCAACTAATTGCTCCTGACCCAGTTCCCTAAGGCCTTTGGTTCTGAAGTGGATCAAAGTCTATAATGAGACAAAGCCTATTGAGACATCTTAAGAACTCAAATTTCTTTGTTCCAGTTACCCAAAAATGAACAACAGGCATGTTTCACATCTAGAACTTGAAAAGACAAAAAAAAAAAATCCTTTGTACTTAGGATCACCAGTGTTCTTGTCTTCTGACATTTTATCCCTGGAATAAAAAAAAAAATAAATGCTTTCCCTTAAAATTACAGAGGCCTTTAGAGAAATACATTGTTTATCCCCCCTTCTTACTTTTAATTGATAATTATTTTTTATGTATCTAAAATTAAATATGTGCATTTTTCCAGGTGACCAAGATATCAACGTGGTTTCTCAGTACATTTCAAAAATGAAAGTAATTTACCCAGCAGTTGAAGGTCGGATCAAGTTTTCTGCAGGAAGTTATTGCCATGGAAGCTTTTCTTTAATATTTCTTTCATTTTGGGCAGTGATTCTTGTTTTGTACCACTAACCAAAAATTCTCCTTGCTATTAATGTAAAACTGTATTTTTTTCAAAGTGAGATTCCATCTGCCTTTTAGGACCTGGTGTTATATCACAGGCTATCCTCACAGACTCCTAAGCGCTGAAGCTTAGGGCACTGTGAAAGAAAGAGATAGATATCATCACTCAGAGTCAGCAACTTCATGAATGGATGCAAACTTAGTGAACTTAGATGGAAAAGTAAATAGGGCCCTCTAAGAAGATAGCCAACCATGTTTAATTTATGTAAAAATTTTTTGTGACATTTTATTAACAATTTTAAACCATGGAAATAATTGTTCTATCTATCCTACTTCTAATACATGGAACAACTTACAAGTTTATGTAGATCAAGCACATTGCTTCATTTAATGGCCATAACATTCTTCAGAGGGTAATTTAGGTGGTGTTTTCCTCATTCAATACACAAGCAAACTGAAACTCATAAAGGGTGACTTGTTCAGTTCTACTCATAGTTAAAAGTACAGATCAAGGCTTGAACTTTAGGTTTCTTAACATCATATCCAACACTTCCTCATCGATATCAAGTTGCTCCTCAGAATGGTAATTAATAGTCTCTTTTCATGACTACCAATGGCCCCAAGATCACGGATGGCAAATCTCAACTTATACTATTTTTTTCTTTTTCCTTCTTCTTTTGGCTCCTGTTGTAACAGCAAGTTTAATGGACTAAACAAGGGACAGCATTCTCTCTTCCATTACCATAGGTCTTTGAATCAGCAAACAAACTATAAAGCAGATAATGGGAAAGGACAGAGTCTGCAGAATGTAGTTATGGGGGCAGGGGAGAAAAGGAAGACATGGGACACCAAGACCAATTTACATTACAGAAGAGAATGAGCTAAGGAAGTTAAGCAGCATGGTGCCTGACACACAGTATTGGTTATTAATTTTATGAGATTCCATTAGCTCTGTCTCTTCTGCACTTCTGTAGTCTTCTTCCTAACTTCAGATGTCATGAAAAGAGGACCTTCTAAAATAAGTTCTAATTAATTCTATACCTGGTCCCACTCCAAGATGCCAACACTGCATTTATGTTACCAGTAATCTCACCATACACATTAGGAAAAATCCAGAGTCTGGAAGATAAGCATTGGTTTTAAGATGCTGTATATATAAGATATTTGAAGTTACTCTGTTTCAAAAATCCAAACATCACAGTAAATCACTCTCAAATCCAGAGCTGAGAACACCTGCAGGGGAGTGGGTCCCTGAATGTTCAGGAAATACCTGACTGATGAAATGATTTATGATCAAAAACCTAACATTTGCTGATAGTGGCAGTGGGATCAGATGTGCCTACTCAGCATTACATCAGTAATTCACCAAGAAATTGAAGACTTCACCTTAATAATAAGCCAGGCATGGTGGCGCATACCTACATTCTCAATACTCAAGAAGCCAATGCAAGAAGATGGTCAAAAGTTTGATGCCTGCTTGGGCTACCCAGTAAGTTCGCTCAAGGCAAGCCTGAACTACATAGTGAGACCCTGTCTAAAAAAAACAAAAGCAAACCACAGCTATAAGTTTGGAGAGAGAATAGGTTTCATAGTGTTTACAAATATGAAGTTCACTTGATACAAAATATACTTTCAAATTTCATAATTTTTGGAAAGGAGGCTGCAGTAAAATAATGCCTTCAGTTCTGTAAACAAATGTCAGTAAAACTACAAAAAAGTACAGAAAGGTGCAATTGGGGTATATTAATGCTTGGCCAGTAAACTAGGATAAATATTAGAGCACAATTTTTAAAGAACATTTTTCTAAGTTTTCTAAATATGTGTATATGTATTGTGCAGGGTATGAGAAATAACCTTGGATGGTTTTTCAATTGTAGATTCCAAAGAATAAAACTGTAAGACACTCTTTGGTCTTTAGTAGTTATTTCTTCTCTCAAACACTATAACCCAAGACGATATAATTGAAGAAAAACGCTGGACAGTTTTTAAGGGTTTTCACTTCCCTTGATCTTAAGCTCCTTGCCATCTGTTAACCACCTCCCCCCACATATACACTCCAAAAAATGAAGAATTGCTCCCGTCTCCCAGAATCTCCAGAGACCCAATACCACTGAAGTGATGAGTAAGTTGTGCTAGGGCTAACTCACTAGTGCCTTTTCATAATATGGTTACATCCTCCCTCCCCCCTCCCTTTGTCTCCACCTCCTCCTCTTCTTCCTCTCCCCACCTCCAGACTAGTCCAAACTAGAAGAAAATGTCAAAAAGCTTCATTTGGGCATAATGTGGAGGGAGGGGAGGGAGGGTGCTAAACTGGAAAAATGTCAGTCCAACCAGACATTCAGTAATATGTAAAATCCCTCAAGTAAATTATACTGTTCATTCTTAAAACTATGAAGATGAATCTGACAAACTTGAACATTATCTAAGACACACTTCCTTACAAATCAAATTTCAGTGTCACTTTTTCAACTTAGCCACTTTTTAAAAATTAACTCCAAATGAAATACCTTGGCAAGCTCTTCCCCATTTGTGAGGTTCCTGAAACTTGCCAGTTGATATACGTGGTTTTTTTGTGTTTGTTTTTGCCTGTTGATATGCATTTCTCTAAAGCTACAATGGCTTCTCTACAATTTAGGTAACCTTGTTATCCATGCTTATGTTGTTAGGGTTCTCTAGAGGCAGTATCAGTAAGAGGGCACAAATATTTTATATTTTTGCAAGGGGATTTACTAGGCTTATAGGATCACAGATGGTATAGTCCTCAGAAATCTGTACACTGAGTGTCATGGACCAGAGAATTAAGCCTAATTGGCCTCATTTGTGAGCACAAAGGAGAAAGGCTGCACTCAAGGGTGACTGCATACTAGGGAAGTTAAAACAGCTGAGGTTAGAGACCGTACAAATGAATATTAGAAATAAGATGAATCTTGTGTTAGCTTGATTGCTTATGCCTGGGTTTTGGTGAAAATGAGGTGAGCCAAGGCCACGGGCTCCTCTGCCTGCTACAGCTGAGCGCCCTGCCTGCCTGCCTGCCGCCTGCCTGCCTGTTTTGCTGACTCCATGTCTCTCTTGTCATTCACCCTTGTTGCCCTTGGGTCAGGGAAGAACAAAGTAGTGGGTCTAGGTTCCTGAATGAGGCCAGCTGGGACTGTCAGGAACACCAGAGGATATAGTAATTGCTCAACTTTTGAAGCATCTGGAAGCCACAGAATAAAAGGAATTAAAGATGCAGCATCAGTCTGAGTCTGGAAGCTCCCTGGAAAGTATACTTGGTATAAATACATTTTGAAACATCCCCACAAGCACCCAGAAATGTGCTTTACAAATCTCAATTTTTTAATCCACTCAAGTTGACAATCGTGACAAATGGTTACAATGTTGTACCAGTTTTCTCCACTTTACTTTGTCCCAAAATTGCGATAGTACTCTCTTCCTAAGAGCAGCTGGTATAATGTGTGGTAGTAAAACAAAGTTTTGATGAGTGGGCATAACTGGAAGGAGTTGCAATGAAAAAGATTCAAGACCCAATGTAAGAATATCAGTGCTTCTTAAAAATACTGGTCAAACTTGTAACATGGAATCCCTTTTGGGGTCCCTCCTTAATTTCCTTACTGTCTAGCACTGGAAAGCCCGAAGACAGTCCTTGGACCACCACTTTTCTACTTAATTTCTTGGTCATCATATGTAGTTTTATTGCTTTAGTTTCATTAATTTACATCTTTAAGTTGATGACTCCCAAATTTTGATCTCCCACTTGGAACACAAACTCCAGACTGATTAAAGACATCTGCTTATTTGACATTTCTAAATGGGATGTTTAATAGGCATCTCAAACACAACCTGTCCCAAAATGAATTCATGATCTTCCCTGTCAAGCACATGTCATTCACATTTTATTTAATGGACTCATTTCCTATTGCTCAAGTCAAACCTTGGAGTTATCCCTACCTTTTTTCTTAAACTCACAACCACCCATTGTTAAACCTTGTTGTCTAACTTTAAAAAATAACCAGACTTGTTGCAACTTCTCAGCAATTCCAGAACTCCCACTGATCCAAATCATTGTCATCTCAACTGAATTACTTCGAGAGACCTCCTTGTCTCTACATTGGCTCCACTTTACACTGTATTCTAAAAACAGCAGAGGATCATTGAAGTATAGTATACCCTGTTAACTCATCTTGAGTTGAAAATACCTTAAAAGTTTAAAAATGCATTTATTTAACACATCAAACCTGACAAATATAATTTACCAATACAGTGCACTGTGAATTCTTTATTTTGATCATGTGGTTGATCGAGTTAAGACTTGCTGCTGCTTCTCAGCATCTTGAGAGTATTGTACCACACATTATTAGCCCCAAAATTTTTCAAAATTTGTAATTTTAGGTATGGTTTCTACTATATCACTTGTACCATCACAAGGTTGAAAAATTCTGCAGTGGAAACCATCTATATATGATCACCCTGGTTACAGGAATTACTTTTGGAAAGTACTAGTCAGCATTTCTATCACTAAGACACAATACCAGACACTACAACTTAACTTGGCTAATGGTTTCAGAGGATTCAATCCATGTTGGGTGGCTTCAAGGCAGAAAGTAGCCTCATGTCTGAAGGCCATAATGGAGGAAAGATGCTCACTTCATGGGGGCTGGGAATCAGAGCAGGTTCAAAAGAGCATCTAAGAGGAAAGGACTAGAAGCCAGAAGCAATCCCTAAAGTCACACCCACATAACTCAAGCACACACTCAGAAGTGTGCTTTACTAATCTCTTAGGCATCTCTTAATCCAGTCAAGTTGAAAATCATGATTAACAGTAACAGAAACAAAAGCTTCAAATGCAACAGTAACGAGGAACAATGAAGACTAGAGTGACTTAAGTTTGAACTTTTATCTTCACAGTTCTTTGGCCCCAATATCCACATCTGTAAGACAGGAATAGTACTATCTCTAAAGTTGTCATTTTAGATAAAATGTGAGGCAGTATAAAAAAGTACCTGGCAGGGCCAGGAATGTAGCTCAGTGGCACAGCACCTACCTGGCAAGCACAAGGCTGAGTTTGATTCTCTGTACCAAAAAACAAAACAAAACAAAAAAACTGGCAAATAATAGGGACTACACTGTAGTTGTGTCTCCTTTTATAAGGTGATTTTTTTGAATATTTAATATTTATTGTTTATGGAAACTCATTAAAATTTTCAACATCAGCTGTTTTTTGGTGTCTAAAGTCTAAAACAGAACAACAGAAATAAGTTCCTATATGAACTACAATGAAAATACCAGTAGAACTCTGCAACAAAATTAATCTTTGGCTGGGGATTTAGCCATGCCTGCCTCACACGCATAAGGTCTTGCATTTGGTACAAAAAAAAAAAAAACAAATCTTAACTTCAATTATCACCTTGGAAGCAGTCTTCACACATGACAACAGCATGTTCCATACAAGGCCTGGAGATTTAGCTCAGTGGTACCACACCTGCATTTCATAGAAGTTTCAGTCCACAATTGGTTGGCTCCAAGGCAGGGATGACACAGGCATCACAGCAGAGAAACAACATGGTGCCCACATAGTAACAAAGGCAATAAGCTATAAGGTGATTTATAATTTTGTATGAATAGACTTTAACATATCACATTCCTTTAAATATGGCATATATACATTGTAGGGAATGAACTCCATACTCTCCAAATTTGTGTCTTGAAAACAAATCCCAATGTGACTATAGTTGGAGACAAAGCCTCTCTGGAGGTAATTTAGGTTAAAAGGGGTCATAAGAATAGTAATTTAATCCAACAGGATTGGTGATCTTGTAAAAGCAGAAGAGTGAGATTTATCTCTCTACATGTGTGTACAGAGGTCATGTAACCATATAAGATGGTAGCCAGCAATACACCAAGAGAACAGGACTCAATAGAACTACCTTGATCATACTACCATTCTACACTTCTAAACCTCCCAAATGTGAGAAGTAAAATTTGTTGTGTAACTCACCCAGTCTGTAATATTGTTTTGGCAACCCAAGCAAAAGATACACTTTTAAATTTTTAAATATTTTATTAGTAAATGTTTGCAGTTCATGCATTTGCAATCATCTTGGAGAGCAGAAACATGTACATATCACAGTCTAAATTTTAAATCCCCTTCCCTCCCAATTCTCCTTTTGTGTTTTTCATTCTTGTTGATATTAGTCTTAGCTCATGTTAAGGCATATGTTTATCTTGAGGTTATTAGGTTCTTGTACATGACATATCTTTATTCTACCTATTTCTCCTTGACTTTCTCACCTCATAATTACGAGTTTTCCTTTGGACCACTTCCTATTGCAAGAGATCCATCTCCTTGTTCCCATCTATACAACCTTTATTATTCTTTGTACTTCACCTCAAATGACACCATATGGTATTTAAACTTGTTTCTGGTTTATTTCATGCAATGTATTTC